ACGAATCACTATTGCGGTCATCCGCTAACGGTGCGCCACCAGCAAATCCATTTACGCGGGCAGCTGTCCCGCCCGTTAAATTGCGGCGGATGATTGATGTCGAGTGCGGACGACTGACGGGAAGATTGCCCGGAGTAAGCGCAAGAAATAGTAATGGATTATTATCGGGGGGCGATTTATCGTTTATGAAAATCAAACACGCCCCGGGCGACTCGTAATCGAGCTCTGAAGCCGAGGAACGAGCGACTGACGCACGCGCGTAAACGATTTGTCAATGTTGAATTATTCAGAGATCATTGCTTTGGCGGCGATTCGTATTTAATCACTATCGTTCTGTCACTTCTTCTCGATACGTAAGCGACTATTAATTTATCCTATCGTATCGAGAACGTGCGTGTCATTCGACGCGCTCGTCAGACTCGCTGGGTGAGTCGCTGTGTCAAGAGGCAATTGACTAAGGTGAAACACTCAGTTGTTGGAATTCTCCTTAGTCACTGGCAGTGTGAGGAAAAAACCTGCTTCTTCGTGCGACCAACATTGAAGTTAAGCTTCTTGTCTGCAACTTGTGGCTCCAAAGGACACCCTCACGGCTGAAACTGTGAACAAGTGTCGCTGAAAGAAATATGTCGCAGGTTTTTCCCGAGTGTCAATAAGGACAAGGAGGATGCCAATAATTGCATGATTTACTTCGCAAATGGTTCATAACCCGCGTATTTCCGCAATTCTTTCATTCCTACTGTAAGAAGAAATCTCGATAACCAAGTGTCGAGTTGAAATTCTATTAAAGTCGAATCTACTCGAAATTAACTGAGTAAAACGTGTCTTAACGTCCATAAACGGCTCTCAGATTGAGGTATGTGTTAATATTTGTCACCAGAAACTAGTCTCAACCACTCAAACTTGAATTTAAAGTTTGGGCTGAGTTTTTCAATTAAATCGTGTTATATACCTGATATTACATATTTTGATCATTCTATATAATTGCGATTATCAGTTGAGAAAATTCATATGCAACCTCTAAATTTAGATCTGAGTGTATCTCACACTTCAAGTAACAACTGTTAATACGGTGGGTGGACTTTGCTGGACTTCATCTTGTAATCCTAATCGCATTAACCCTAATCGGGTCCCAATTATTAATAATCCTTATTGCTAATAAAGTCCCGATTGCCACGCTGCGTTACACGAGTTATCAGGACTCTATAACGTCACCCTGTACAAACTAGATGACTGCTGGGGATCAACCTATAATCAGGAGGGATAGATTTCCACACTCCAAGAGACTCTTACCGGACAGCTCACAGTAGATTCAGACACGCACTATACAGACCACCGCAGTGAATACGTGCCGTGTAAGACTGCAGACGCATCTTTGCGCCGCAGATTATTGTCGCGCTCTCCTATCCAGGAACGAGAAGAACTCTCGGCAGCCTATCCCTCCGCATAGACCCCGAGTCTGCGGGTTTTTACTTCCGTTCCTTCATATACAAGAGCTGTCCAAATAGAAGCGATAATGCGAGTACCGTGAAATCGGTATTTTTCGTGGGAGAGTCGTCGAAACGTTGACTCCGGTAGCTAAACCCAGGGGAGAGAGCCCGACGGTTTCTGGAAATAGTCTGCGAGCAAGAGGGTGTCGGGGGCAGAGGGGGATGGGGATGGGAACGAAAGGGGGGGCCCATCAAATAGATTAAACGGCGAGTGCCGCAGCTGTCGCGCGACGTTTCGACTTCCCGATTTCGCGCAGATCCTCTTTGCGCCCCTCCGGGCCGGCGGCGGCGCCCGGAGTTAATCCTTAACGTACGTCGCGATTTCGCGATCTGCATACTGCTTACTCCCCGAGTAATTTCACCGGGACTTAGGAGGGCGACGACGGAGGCGGCGCGGTCCTGGGAGGGCGCGCGAAACGGTTTGCCCGACGTATTAAGTCGTCGGCACGGTGGGATTAACGATCACTCTAACGCTCTCCGCTCGCGATTTCGTTTGGAGCTTACTCCCGGAGCCAGGGGTTCGCAGGCAGCCGCGATGCCACGGCTCGGTGTGCGTGATTAGGACGTTATTAGCGCAATACTAGGGCCGGGTCCGTTCCGCAAGCCTGCTATCGCCTTCGCGACACGTCTCCTTCGCCCTCGGCGGCGACCAAGCTCGGGGCCGCCTCCGTCGCTCCGCGCAAGTGTAACGTTCAGCTCGGCGTAATTAACCCGCGGCGAACTTGACGTCACGTTACGACCGCAAAAAGGTGATGCGTTATCACGGAGCTGATGAATGAGATACATGTATACAAAGGAGAATACACACACTTTATACAGTAAGATGAATGTCCCAATTGGAGTGATAGTTACATTCGTGTGCCTTCATAAATTAGTACAGGACTCCGTATCCGATTATGTATCCTAAATATACTTGGAATTTCATATATTACCGATTATAACAAGAATTCTGAATAAAACCGAAAGTCGTAATAAATTCCGAAGCGTCGTAATTTTACAAGTATACTCCTGACAGCGACAGCTCAAATTTCTATATTATTTGCCGGTATTGTAGAAGTTGACAGCTAATATTACATATTTATTTATTAGATCTATGCAGTTACTTTTAGATCTGTGCAGTTATAACTTTAAGCGATTGAAATAGTTATTTCTCAAAGTTGAGAAAAGGTTAAAGAATATTTTGTAAACAAAAAAAAGTACAAAACAAAATAAAAAACAAAGTACATAATTTTAGTAGTTAATACTATATGTCATATATTAGGATCAATGTTCCCATTAATGAGAACAAATAAATAAATATGACGCTTTATTTGTCAAAAGAACATGTGCTTATAAATTTTATTTATTATAGAGCCAAGAAATAGTATTGAATAGCAAATGATAACTTGCTTTTCTAGAATTTATTAAATATGTATTATTAGCTTACAAATGACCATGTTATCAGTTTCGATAAAATACAACATTTAATATATGAGATATAGAGATATGTTGCTTTTGGCTACTTTCCTCTACATTTTAGCCACTTTTTTGAGAAGATATTATAAAATAAATATCTTCACATAAATTTTAGAAAAATATAATTAAAATCCCAAAAATGTTTAAACTTTCCAACAAAATCTATTTTATGTGTACTTAATTCAACACGTACATTATTAACTAGCTAAAACTACCTGGCGTTTCTCGGATTGTCACAAAATTCAATACACACAAGAGGATAAAATCAGGGGAAAAGGGTAAGAGTGAGGTGTTTCATGTAATTTACGTTTTCCGCAGGATCTTAGAGGGTAACTATGTAAAATTTGGTCGAGATCGGTCAAAGGGGTTTAAGAATCGAGTAGAAAACATACAGCCATTGTTTTTCATTTATATATGAAATATTCTGTTTCATTTTATATTGATTAATTAATTTATCCTCACGAGATCAGATTACCTGCTCACTAATTGGGACACTCGCTTTACCAACTCTTTTTCTATATACACACTTTTTCTACATTCTTCCTATTATAGACATTTTTCGCCAGACTCTTTCGCCGTGTGCACCGTTTCTACAATACGTTCCAATTAGCCTGTTATGATATGCCACGAACATTGTTTGCTAAATAATACGTATCTCTTATACGCCGTGCATGCAACGTTCGCCGAAGCAAACTAAGAAATACGTTTAGAGCGGAAGCGCGCGGGAATTCGCTCCCGCCTGCGTGCGTCCTCCTGCGTGCTTCTGATAATTAAGATGTTCGTAAGTATGTTCGCGAAGTTACCGTCAACATCGTGGAAAGTACGGGACTGAATGTTAATTAATTAGCTTTAGTAATGTATGATTAGGTATAATATTCTCTCTCTCGAGTGCGCGCGCGTAACTTAGAATGCAAAGGCACCGAAGGCTCGATGACGAAAAATAATCCACACTGTCTCGCGCTCGTTCCCCGCGAGACGATATTAATTAAACGCGCTGAACGTTTCGTGCACGTTTCTGTCTCGTTACATTATTGTCTCCACCGTCTCACTTGGTATGTCCGCTCGAAACAATCGGAAGATCACTCCTCCACACGTTGATATTATTCGAGGAACATCTGTGAGGCGATAAAAAGAACATCTCTCTCTTTCATTACCTTAATTTTCGATGCGAATCAATTAACATGTTCTCGCTGCCACGGTTTATTTGGAGAATTCTCTCTTCTCACCACATATAATTGTATGTGAGACATGCTTAGTTTGTTTACATGCGGATGTACAAAGAAAAGTGTCGACACACACATGTGACGTTGGTGGCGCGAACGTGTCGAGTGAAAATTTGGAGTAAGGACGAGCTTGAAGAGATTGTCGTGTGACGCCGGTGACGAACGCGTCGGCTTTCGATTTGTACACTTTAGACACTGGTCAAAGGTGTTTCTCTCTTCAGCGCGCACGGATCCCCAATTGTTTCGAGCGGCGTTGACGATTACTATATTTTCTGTGCCTGTGTATATCTCTATATATTATCTGTGTCGTTACACGAAAGTAGACGAAAAAGAGAAAAAGAAAAAAAGGTATACACTGAGATATATAAATTATTCGATAAGAAATTAACAAACGGACATTTCCGATCAAAATACCGATGAATTTTTGTGTCCCATCGGGAAACATCCGATGAGAAATATCGGTTCATAATTTTCCGATCGGTTTATCTGATGAAATGTCATTATGATTGGAAGTGTTCGATGAAATTTAATCGGACATCCTTAATCGATATAAAAATTCATCGATATTTTGATCAGAAATATCCGTTTGTTAATTTTTATCGGATAATTTCTGTCAGTGTAGAATATAACTGAAGGGTCTCTAGGAAGAAGGTAAATTGCATGCAACGTTTTTACCATTAGTATCTCATTCCTCCTGTCTCGCATTGTTCTATACTCGGTAGAGATCTCTCCCGACACGGCCGTAGCCGCATCGACGTGCGTATATATCACTGCACTAATACCCGACCGCGCGTCCATGTTCCGCGTGTAACTCCCGCATTCATTTTTGTTGCAGGTAAGCGCCGCCGCCGGTCCCTTTGACATCGTTTTCTCCGGCACACAAAGCTTTTAGTAAGTTAATTAAACTTTCCACAAGGAGAGGCGCGGCCGCTTTTCAGCGACGCGCGCGCGCGCGCACGGCTCTCATTTCGTTGACGCAATTAAAAATATGTATAAAACACGCGGGGCGGACGCCGCCCGATAATGAACGTTGAAGCGATCGTGCGATACGTTGTTGCCATGGTGGGCGAGGAGATCAAAGTGAAAATTAACTCAGCTGGGCAACTTGTCGAAAATGGCACGTGCGCGTGCAATGCTCCTGTCACTTTGTTGTCGCCCAGCGACAATTGCGCTCCGCCGTGATTTCGAAAGATGCGTCGTGGCCGCGCAGTCGGCCGACGATGCGGATTTTGACATTCGTTCTTTCTATCCTTCTCTTTCTTTCTACCTTTCTTTCTCTCTGCTTTTGTCTCTGTCTCCCCCTCCTCTCTCTCTCTCTCTCTCTTTCTCTCTCTTTCCTTTTTTTCGTTATGTCGCGGCCGCATTTTATCGCGCGCAAAATTAATCGAGGATTACTGAATTTTTCATTGTCCGTCCGTAAGCCTACGGCACATTGCATTTTGATGAAACCGCGGCGAACATTCGGCTCTGCACGGGGCGTTTTATTTTTTTATTGCTCGCCGCTTTTGTATTTTATAACGTTTCGCAATTCTATATTTGACGATAGAGAGGTATATTTTAAACGCGCAAAAGGTGGATTTCAAATGCAGTAACGTTTGAAACTCGTGCGGACATGGCTATGAAACAGTAACGGCGCGCCGCAGCGCACGCAAGGTTTATTAAAAATCGCTGAAATAAATTCACCATGAAGTGAGTGAGTGAGTGAACGAGCGGGCGGGTGAGCTTCCGAAGGATAACCGGCGACGTCTAATTCGAGATCAGCAAATATTTACCAATTTGCCGAACGCTTATGCACGGTTCGCGATTTTACGTCATTTTACATGCCGTTCCTCTTCCCTCCTCTTTCCTCCTCCTCCTCTCTCTCTCTCTCTTTTCCTCTTTTTTTCTCTTTACTCCCTCGCCTGTCGCGCGACCGGTCGACCGGATAAAGTATCCTTTATGAAAGTTGCAGGCATTCACAATGACTACGGACACTCCAGTTTCAGCTTATATAATGGCGCCCTATTGACGTCACCGGCTCTCTTTTTAAATGGCGGCATATATATTGATACGACGAAACTTTGCGGAAAAATTCTTCGTGCCGTTTCGCGAAACAAAACTGACTGAAGTTACGCGCTACGAGAATCGCGGGCGATCGCATTCGAATCACTTCTCAATTGGGTATTTCTACTTTCGTGGAAGCGTCGCGATATGAAGCGCTGCGAATTATTGCTCACACGGACGAAAGCGGATGATGATGGGTGCTTTCCAGTTGCGTACACTGTGTTACATAAAACTAGTTTATTGGTTGCATATTTTCTTACAAGATATTTTAGATAATATGTGACCAATAAACTGGTTTTGTGTACGTGTGTGTCAAGATGTGTTAAGAAATTGGAAAGCACCCGATATCTACCGCGACAATTCGCGACGTCAGTCGTCGCGGGAAGAAGCGCGTTTCTTCTTGGCGCATCCGCCGGGGTTTCTGCCGCCGATTTCCCTTATGACAAGCTTTCCTTGCCGACAAGCGCGTTTCCAGACTGTTATAGTGGAATAATAAACTACACATTGGAGACACGTGAGGTATCACATCTAATCACGAGAAAGATACGGCCCATAATGCTACACGGAGAAAAATAATTTTGCTCTTTTAACAAAATCGTCATTGCTACTGCATATTCGTAGTGACATCAAGAAAATTTAGTTGACGTAACTAATTTTACAAATTATTCGTTATCAGAGCAGAAGTAGTTTTGTTGCCAGGATAGAAAAAATTTGTTGAGTATATTTGTCCTAAAAATCACGTTAATTTGCTATTGATGCAAAATAATATATCTTTAACAAATTTATTTGCTATCGGAGCAAAACTGCAACTACTTATACAAATCCATCATGGTTCTTATAGCAAAATAATTTGTAGATTTAGCAAATTATATCCAGCAAATAGTGATTAGTACTCTTAGCAAATCTTTTTGCTGTCCATATAATAACGAAAAGATTTTGCTAGATTCAGCAAAAAATTTGCTAGATTCAGCAAAAAATTTGCTGGAACAGCAAATTATTTTTCTCCATGTAGTGTGAATAGGCTAGGGAAATAATGACATTTGACAGTGTCAGAGGCGATGAATGAAAGCTCCCACGATAAACCCTCAGTTATTATTATTTAATTAACTCCCCTCTTAAAATTCCCGTATTTCTTCTTGATTCATATTTAAAGTTACAAAGAATATTGCTTCAGCCAGGAGTCGAAATCGGGTCTTGTTCTCCGTTTGCCGGGCGGGGCGCCATGCCAATACGACCTTCGACAGTGTTTCCTCGCAACTAAAACGCTTAAACATTGTTTGTTTTGGATGGAAGCACACTAAACTGCCGCCAGAACGCAACAAAGAAATAGAGTGTTTACGAAATATTCGGACAAACTTCTAGGGCATATATTCCTCCCATCAAAATAAAGAAGAAAGTCTATATAAATCCATAAACAAATATGAGTGGTCGCGAAATAAAACAAAATTTATGTTAACGCGCGTTACTAATAAATAATCACAAGTAAATATTAAAATTATAACAATCACGAGACGAGTCCAAAGTAGATATCAGCAGCAATTGCGCATTAATGTATGACCTGGAATCCTATAGCTTCGCAAACTACTCATATTTGATTATGAGTTTATATAAACTTTCTTCTTTATTTTCATGAGAGGGATAGAAGATTGTCCGAGTATTTCGTAAACACCCTGTGTATTAAAGTTTAGTAAAGTGTTTTCCCTGTGAACTCCCAATTTTGGCGAGTCGTCCAGGCGCGTGATCGATCCCGATCTTGCGGTCCGTCTCTACTGGAGCTCCGAATTCGTCGACTGGAACAATCAGCCCCCAAAGTCGTAACTCCTCACTCATAGACGGCCGTTCCGCCACCATTTTCACTCTGACGTCAAGGACGTCGAGACGGGGGGAGGTGATTATGCTCGAATCAGTCTTTCCTTCTCGCCTCTCCTCCATCTCTTTTGCGTCTCGTCTCCTCACCGTGAAAACAGTAATCTCCGCCTCGAACAAACACTCGGCGAAGTCTCACTGAAGAGCGCTCGTCGAACGAATGGCAATGCGCAGCGGTGCCACCCTCTCTTTCTTCACACTTATATCTCGCCTTTTCTTCGATGCGACTTGAGAATTCACCCCCTGCGATGGGGCTGCGTTCCTCCGTCTCTCGCGAGGATGCACTCGCGAGAGGCTTCTCTCTGTGTTTACGCATTCTCCTTTTCCCCCTCCGCTTTCCGTCCTAGTTATTTGTCTGCGAAACTTTTTCATCTGCTCGACGGACTCGCGGACGCGCTCGGATACGCCAAAGTTTCGGTTGTTTTAGCGCACCGCGCCGGCCTACTGCCATAACGCGCCGGACTCGAGAGTGGAGTGGAGGCAGTCAGCCATTCGCGACGTCGGTGCTTTATTGCCACCCATTGAACTTCTTCTTCGGTGTACTTTTCCGGGAGAGAGAGCGTCGTCGTTAAGCGGCGCGCACCACGGTTGTAACTACTACGACGGCGGACGTTAAAAGAAACGGCCTCGCTGATGTTTAACCTTAAACTCTGGCTATTATGCTAATTACCCTCGACGAGTGCGCGAGTATCGAGGCACACGGTACCTTTCGGCCGCCGTGTCAATGCTTCTCTCTTTTTTTAGGATATTTTTTAAGGTTTGCAATTTCGCATTTCGCTGATTGTGAGGGATTCGGAAAGCCCTCCGCGACTTTGGATTGTATTACGCATTGTTGCGTATCAATTCACGTTCACGCGCGCGTGCCTCTGTATGTATGCATGTGGGGGTGTATCTCCTCGAAGAGCGAGAACGATGAAAATTGTAACTCACCAGGGTATTAAACGGAGCGCAACCCGGAATCGGGTGGTGCATCTTCTTAAATCTTCCTAACGTATAGCAGGTGGTCTCGCGGAGAGAGAGTAACCGAGCCGGAGTCTCGGCTCACTCACGGGAGATCTAGGATCCGTTCTAGCGCATAATAAATACAAGCTCTTTTCCCACCCCCGCAAGCCCTCGCGCACCCCCGTGCGGCGGGTGGAGGCTTAAGAGAGCGGTTTCGGGATCGCGGTGGCGCTCTCAGGTGGACGCGTCCGTGTGCGCGGGATCGGTCGGGGGGGACAACGTGTCGGGGGTGTTGGAAGGCTCGCTCGCGAGGCGTCGCGAGGTGGTAGCTCTCGGTGAAGGTGTGCGAGAGGAAGAGAGATAGAGGGAGAGTGCAGCGCGGTGAGGCGGTGGAAACGAAAGGGAGAGGGAGGAGGACTCGTGAGAGTAGCTTTGCCGCCGCCGCCGCCGCCGCCACCACCATCGGCCGCCGCCGTCACCGCCGCCGCTGCCACCGCCGCCACCGGCGCCACCGCCACCACTGCCGTCGCGCAGACTCGATGGTCCTCGTGCAGGCTCGCGTCCTTTCGGTATGTTCTCGCACCCCATTGGACGTGCGCTGCCGTTTGCACGGTGGGGGCCGAGAAAGGCGCGTTTGAAAGGCACGTATACGCTGTAATCCGACTCGGCGGCGGTGGCGGCGACGGCGGTGGCGGCGGCGGCGGCGGCGGCGGCGGCGGCGGCGGCGGTGGAGGCGCGGAGAGGCCTACGCGGCGCCGCGAGAGAGACGCTCCTCAGTTGTGTCAAGCTAGGCGATCGAGTAGGACGCATTTTGATCGTTCCGCCTCCGAGTTACTCTCTCACGAACACACACACACATACACACGCCTCATACACCTACACACTCACACCCACACTTTCTTCCTCTCTTCCTTCCTTTTTTTCTCTTTTTTCCCTCTACCTCTGCCACGTCTGTCTCCTTCCACGCTACTCTTTCACAGTACACCGACACACATCCGCCACGGGACGCACCAGTAACACACAAGCGCCAGGAGCCGCGGCATAAAAGCGCTCGTACAACAGACGCACACACAGACAGACAGACACACACACACACGCGCCATCCATCCATCCACATCCATCTGTTTATCCATCCATCCATCTATCCATCCATCCCCAGTCAGCCAACAAGCAGTCCTTGCCCGTCTCGCGCCTCCTTCGTCTCTCTTCGCGCCCAGCACTCGGCTCTCCGCGCTTCCGTTTTTACCCTTTCTTCGTCTCGACCGGCGAGGCACGCGCGCGTACGAACCACCGTACGAACAGGCACAACACCCCCAACGTCCACCACGTCCAACGTCACCGCTCGCCGTCTTTGCGACGCGCGGCCGCCCGAATAAAACGCTGAAGAAGAAGTGAAGACAACCGAGCGACGCCAGTAAGACCACGTGATCGGCGCCGCGGAGAGACTCCCCCCAGCACACGCTTAAACGCTACCTCTTGCTTTCTGTCTGTACACCGAGTACGCATGCATAAAGCAGCCCTCTGACTGCGCGCCCTATTGTCTCCCCCTCTCTGACCGTGTGTGTGTCTGTGTGTGTCTGTGTGTGTCGAGCGCGAGCCACCGGTTGTCGTGGAGCGACAGCTTGCCGGACTGAACTGCGAGCGGTTCAAGGTCGTCGTCGTCGTCGTCGTCGTCGTTGTCATCGTCTCCATCGACTCGTTTACGTGACACACACACACACCGTCGACACCGGGGACAAACTGGGCACCACGAGGAATTGGCGACCGGCTCCACCTGACTCTGAACACCGGTTGCTCGCTGCCGACAGGATTATGTCGAGCTGATCGAAGGAAACAGAGAGGCGCAAGAGATTGACATCCCGCGAAGGCAACTCGCCGGAGTCGAGTCGGCGCAATACCTAACCCCGCGAAAAGACGCGAGACCGACCACGCGACACTGTCCTACCTCGGCAAAGTACCGCTCTCCCGCGATCGTCTCGAGTGGGAGCGATCGAAAGAGGGAAAGAGAAAAATTGAGAGGAGGGCAGAGGCGACAAGAGGCACGCGTGTCGCGTTTTTCGCTCCGTCAATTAAGGGCATCCCTAATTAAGTCACTTCTAAAAACGGTAGTCGTTCGGACGTTAAATCGCCGTGAGCAACCCTCGCGCCGAGACCTGAGAGAAAATCTCGAGTATAGAGTAATAGAAGGAGAGGGTTTCGAGTTTTAAGTACGTATGCCTGTGCGTGTGTGCGTGCCTGCGTCGTGTATGCGTGTGAGTGTGTGCGCGTGTGTGTGTATAAAACGAGTCTCGTCGTGTCCTAGGTCTTAGGTATAAAGAGTAATAAGGGTTAACGTATAAGGGAAAAAGTAAAAAAAATTTAATAAAAGCATCGAGTCATCTGCGTCGTAGATGGCCGTCGAGGAACAAAGAGAATCGCGTCAAGACAATCAAGCACTGTAGTGGGTTGGGACATATCGGTGGAAGGAGAGGGGAAACACCGCGACACTTTCTTTCCGGTCGGGACGGTAATGTACGTGTCTATTACGGAGTAACACGGGTCGTGCGCGATCGACCTACGCGTCTTTATGTGATCTCCAGCCTCTGTACCGATTCTACGTGTGTACACGCTCTATATCGATATCTATATATATATATACACACACAATCGTTATATATACATACATATATATATACATATATATTTACACTTATATACATACGTTTATATGTATACAACCCTCGCACATATCCGATCGACGCGCCGCGAGTCGCCGGCGCGCGTGTCTCGAAGGCGGGATAATCTCAACGAGAAGGAAACTGCCGCGAGGCGGCAGGTGATCGAGGCCGATTAAGATAAAAGAGGGAAGCCCTCGAGGATCTCTCTCTTCTCCCCGGTCCGGCGATAGGACCTGTCTCTCTGTCAATCTTCGTGACAATCATTTTCAGCTAGTACTCTTAGTGTGTAACTCGAGGTGTATCGTCTTTTTTAATAGGATACATTCGCTCGTCGAATTAGCAGGGAGGGTTTATTATTCTGAGAAGAAAGGGAGGTGTAGGTAGAAGGGAGGATAAATAGAAAGAAGAAGGAAAGGAGAAAACGAGAGGAAGCAAGAAGATTTCACGTACCTACGTCGTTTCAATTACACGTACGAGCAGAGAGAGAATCGTGCGAAGCGAGAGACGAGAGTTCCGTCTTCCCCGTCTCTCCCTCTCGCGCGCCTCTTCCGCACACTCTAAGTACATATTAATCCGCGCACGTAAATTCCCCTCTCTTTCCGTCTTTTGCCTGTTGCCACCACCCGCCCCCGCGACCTCTGACTTCCATCTATCTTAAACACATACTCTTACTGTCGTCGTCGTCGTTGTTGTCATCCTTCTCTTCCCCCCTGCCCTCCACCCTCTCCGCTCACGTTCACACACCGACAATCATTCGAGGCTCACATCGTCGACGACGGGTTTCGCGTTCCACGCCGCGACGTCATTCGTCCTAGGATAAACTCGCACGTACCATTTTAGGGCTCTCTCCTCGCTGTCTCGATTGCACGTGTAGATAACGCTTAGACCAGGTCGTCGTGTTGTATATCGATATTCCTAAGAGTAGCGATCGCGCGTGTTCTGTCTGTGTGTGCGTGTGTGTGTATGCGGGGCTCTGTGTGCGCGCGTGTGTGTGTGCGTACGACCATAGCACGTAAGTAGAGACAGTCCGGTCTGTCCGTCACCCCTCCTCACCGTAACGGTGTTACGGCAGCAAAGTCCAGCTCGCGATCAGCTTGGCCAGGCCGAAGAGGCGGCTGGTAATCCGGCGTGGCACGCGCTGCCTTCCTCTAACGCCCGGACGACTACACGTAGAGCAAACGTACGCGCTACATTAGAGCCGAACGTCGCGATCCGTTCGAGATCCGCGACTCGATCACCAGCACCGTGCCCTCTCGTCGCTGCTGCCCCATCGAGATCGGCGTAGCGCTCGCGACGGGAAATCGGCCGGTCGACAACGACGAGTCGAGTCGATCGCGCGCCGTGCAAAAGCAAGAGAGAACGACGGTCGGTCAAGCGTCCAGTCCCGCGGGGAGGACGAGCGGGGAAACGAAGGCGAGAGAGACGCGAGGGAGACCAGCAGCAGCGGGCTGCTTGAACGGCGGGGGCGAGTGGCGCGGGCAGGAGTACGACAGCAAAGGCAGGAAGTGCTGCACCACCTTCAAGCTGTGGTGGCCCTCGCACGAGTGGAGCAGCAGCCGCTCGTGCAAAACGGAAGCACGCTGCCAGGCGTCGCTGGAGCGCGCCTACTGGAACGCACAGGAACGCGCGCGTACCACCTTCTGGGGTCTGCAGTCGTTGGCCGCGGCGAACCGCAGCTTCTTCCTGCATCCCGCGCCGAGCAAGACCTGGCTCGCGGAGGCGATCGCCGCCGACGAGGCACGCTCCCCCATCACCACGTATTTTCATTCGTACCCGTTCGTCCCGGGTGGTGCGGTGCCCCTGCCCCCGCCCCTGCTAAACAGCATCAACAACGCGGCGGCAGCAGCGATCACCCCGGGGCTGGTAGGACATCTTTTCGGTGCTCAGCAGGCGTGCAATCTCGCTTGCACGTGCTCTTGCAACATCGTTGCTAACTGCAACCCCCATCATCACCAGCACCACCACCATCAGCAGCAGCAACAACAGCACCAGCATCAACAACAGCAACAACAGCATCAGCAGCAACAGCAGCAGCATCACAGGACACTCGGTACCACGGCGGTCCTGCTGCAACCGGTTGATCATATCAAAGACACTATGGTGAGTTCATCTTTCTCCGTTTAATCCGTTGCGAGGAGGAACGTGCCGTCGCCGTGGGGAGGGGGCTTGGTGGCTCGTCTTGGACCTCGGGAGAATCTCGGACCGCTCGATCCGGTAATTCCCGGTGCCGCAGCCGCGGCTTCCCCGAATAACTTTCGCTCTAAGGACGCGCGAGGATCGCTCCCGGCCAAGTGCGCGCTCCTCTCCCTCGCGCTGCTCTCTTTTTGCGCGTCGTCACGTTAATCCGCTCGGCAAGTTAATTTCTTCGCGCTTCTCGCCGAGCGTTATATTCGCCAGCTTGACGATGACGTCGCTACACCCGCCGGGAATTCCGAGCATCCGCGCACCGCCTGTTTCCGCAGACAAAGCTCTCACGGAGGTTCTCTGGTCTCTCTCTCTCTCTCTCTCTCTCTCTCTCTCTCTCTCTCTCTCCCCCCCTCCCTCTCTCTCTCTCTCTCTCTTTCCTCGAAGTAACGACGCTCCGACAAGCAGCGTAACGAGGGTATTCACCATCGGGCACAGGCGAATAATACTTTAGTACTACTTCCGGCCGTGACGCGGAGAGTAGGACGACGCGGTGTGGCACCACGGCGAATCAGGAATGGATTTAGTTAGCGACGAACCACGATGAATTACTTCCTACGTTTGCCGTGTAAACAAGGGGGGTAGTATCCTCACCGAAAACCTGGAGTCGGTGCGAACTCACCACCTCTGTGTTCGCGCTCTCGTCGAACCCTCTTCTCTGTATTCCCCGCCCGTACTTCTCTCCACCGCCATCACCGTTGTCGCTCGGTAAACGTTTCGCGGGGGGAAGTGTGGATGGTGCTTTAAATCCCGACTGTCTACGGGGGCATCCTCTTTAATCCTTCGATCGACAGGTGTCGAGTGAGAGTAGAGAGGAAAAGAGAACGCACGAGAGAGGGTGTCCCGCTCCGCGACGTGACATCCCGCGATCCCGAACAAACCTACCTACTCACCGAGAGCTACCTATCTATCTACCCATCTGCCTATTCCTTCCACCCAATCGGATGATCGAGTCGTCGTCGATTCCAGCCGACTCGAGAACCTAATTTTCTTACTCGTTTCGAAATCCCTCCTCGCGTTTTTCTCCTGTGCTCGTCGCCAGCACCCCCATCGTTTCCGTCTCATCCACCTCCGTGTTGCTGCGCGACTCGTCGAGCACGTAGCGAAAGAATCGCATTATCCAGTGACGGTGTGACACGCGTCAATATCTCCCACTGTCGCGCCTAAATCGGCACGCGTGCAATCGTCGGAAATGCAGTCGTCGGAATGCGAAACTTGCCGCGCGGCTGGAAGTCAAGACGGGTGAGATCGTGAAGTTTATCTATCCTACCCGATCCGCGGTCGTACGTGACTGCGAGATCCTCATTCGGATAGCGCAAAGTGCGAATCTAATCGGATCGTTCCATTTGTTCGATCTGTCGGAATTCTGCGTGATTCTGCGCGCGGTTATCTTGGTCTTCCTGATTCCTTTCGTACGGGAATTAGAGAATTAGCGAATGTATAGGTGGAAACGCGCAAGTGTGCCGGAAGCAAATTTGATTGCGTACTTTAGCCGGGTCTACCCCGAGTTATTCCAATGGAATCGACCAATCGCATCTGTCAATTCTGGCTAACGGGAAATACGATTGGTCAATTCTGTCGGAATAATCAGTCGGTTAAGTCAACCAAAGTTGGTAGAAACGAGCATTAGTGCATCCGCAGCTAACTTCTTACCAATATTCGTAAGGGAAACTGTAGAATACCTTGCCACTATCCTAATAAAACGCTCAAGTGAATCGCCAAAAGCACCGTATGTTGGTTTTGAAATTTTTTGTGGACTATTTTCTCCTCCTTTGGTGAAGCGCATCACTTTGATACTTACATATCTTTAATCTACTCATCAATAGTTATAATTTCATCAAAAAATTATTTAAGAGTGCTGATTGTTCCAACTTCTCGGTAAGCTACGTGACAGTTAAATCATGTGTCTGTTTAATTTGAGGAAAAAAACGAAGACAAACATATGATTTAACTATTAGATAGCTGGCAAGAAGTTGAAAATTAAATAAATCGGTAATAAATGGTACTGGAAGTGCTTGGTATGAGTGCTTGGTCGCTCTCTTTCGATAGAATTTGAGTATTAAAGAAAGATGGAAAAGAAAAGGTTACAGAAGTCTCGTCATCGATTGCATCCTGCGTCCTGCAATTCGTCCTGGAATCACCGTGGCCAGGCGCTCAATGGTGCCATACGAAAGTACGACTCGGTCGTGACATTAATTAATGATTGCACGTCGATTGAAAACGATCGTTGAACGCTACGATGCGGGCGTCGTTCCCGATACGGTGGTTCTGATAAAACACGACCGGGATGTTTTGCAAGAGTCGTTTGTTTTGATCTATCAGCTTATCATTCATTGAAGGCAACGACGGTTGGCGCGTGGTGGGGACGCCGATTGTTTTGATATTCGCGACCGCTGCGTGTTATTGCGTTCCGCGCGTCATTGTGTCTCGAGCCGACGAGCGACGCGCACACGCTACATTGAGAGAAAAATATTTGGTAACTATTTAATTTTCACAATGCGTTCTTTGCTTCCTGTCTTTTGTTCTCTGTCTTATCTGTCTTTTGTTCTCTGTCTTTTCCTGACTTGAGACTTCAGTCATAAAGAGACAAACAAACAGGAAGCGAAGAACACAATATAGATTAGACTTAATCACACAGAAAAACAATTACTATAAATTATGGTCATCTTTAATTAAATTCTATCGTAATGTTGGTGATAGTAACCAACCTTGTGTGCATTATACTACTACGGTTTGGCAAACAATATGGTTGACTCTAAAAGCAACGTCAGTTGGATCAATCATCTGTCTCTCTCTCTCAATGTACGACGCGGAACACGCGAAATTATTTCCGTGGGGCGGTCGTGGAATGTTTCGTCGGGGATATTCAATCGGGCTCTCGTCGGTGCCGCGTTATTTAACATGTGTTTGTCCGATCGAATCATATCTATACGAGTGTGTCAGTGCCAGTGAGAGATCCTTGTGCCACGGAGCAGCCAGGATGTAGGACACAGGATGTCAGGACGCGGACAGCGATGTATTGCCAGGTGTGTAAAATCACTTCTTGCGTATAACGTTTTCTACTTTAACGAACTCGTCGAGAATAAAGAAATCTAAATTTAGTCTAAATTTAGAATTTATTCTATAGCCGATATTCATAGGCCCCGTCGTCATTTCATGAATATTCATAACTTCATAAATCTCTGATTATTTGTCAACCTGCACTTCATACAACAAAGGATATCGATCCAAATAGCTGAATAACAGTTCATGAATGCGAATTTGTAATTAATTTCGATCAGAGATCGCGAATAATTCACTACCGGCGTAAATCTCATAAATACTGATACTTGTTTCTCTAATAACGCTCTTGAGACGCGAGTTTTACTTCGAAACTGTCAGCGTTGCATTCACTCTCCTTAAACTTTATTATTGCATCTGAATCTAAATTACTATCTTATTTCTTTTGAGTAGCCAAATCATGTCGAAATATTCGCCATAAAAAATAAAACAAATAAAAAGAGCATTATGAGTGAAGAGAATTGACTAAAAAAATTATTTATTTTGATCTCATTATTTACACGTATTTATTATTTAATATTTGATTATCTCATATATTCTATCTTTGTAATTACATAAGTTACATAATTAATACGTTGCTTATTGAACTGAAGAATATAGATTGATACTGTGAAATATTGAAACAATCGAATATTAATTTTTGAAAATGAGTGCTTCTTTAAGCTTTAACATGTATAAAACGGCAGTAAACAATCGTGTACAAAGGTGTGAAAATTATTAGAATCATTTTGATTTCTTTATTTATTTTCTCTAATTATTCTTTTTAATAAATACCTAATTTTAGGAAATACAATTACAATTTGTTATCGATATTCATTATAAGTCTCAAATGATTACAGGTTTGTACTGCATATTGTAGGATTAAATTATATAAATAACGGATATATTTCATATACCAGATTTTGTTGTAAGATATATTTTATATGTAAAAATAAATTTATATAGGAAATGACGGATTATATATATATATATATATATATATATATATATATATATATATATATATATATTCTGATGAAAGATACTTGAAAATTAATTTTTGGGATATAATATTTATATTTTCTATGAAATAATTTGTCATTATTTATATAACTTAGTCGCACAATATATAATATAAATCAGTAATCATCTCAAACCCATAAGAAATATTGATAAATTGTAATAATTTTTGATAAATTGTAATAATTTTTAAAATTTCGTCTTAGAGGATTTGTTTAATCAGGACTGCTACGAATTAACAATTTCCGTTGAATTAACCATCAAATCACCAAGACACTTGGTGCGCAACGAATTCGCGACTCTAAAATTCATCGTTCGGACTTGGCGGTCTGCGTGAGTTGAATCAGGAGAGGAAAAAATCGTCGTCTAAGTCGGGGTTGTCCGGACTGTTTCGCTCCTCGTGAATGGAGCTTACATCGCGCGCTCGAGGAGTTAGGAAGAACGGTCGTTGCTTTCTTGACGGGTCGCCCTAACCTAGATTCGCGAAAAGATTTACGTACTCTGCGGATTCGCGGCTTTATGACGCGTTCTCCAAACGGCGAGAAACCGGCGTTGTTACTGGCGCGGGACAGCCCTCCTCTCGACGTTCCGATTGATACGTGCAACAATACGTGGTGTTTAAAAGTGTCTCGTCGACATTACCAGGCGGTCGCGACGACAATCGTCTTGGCGAGCGCCGTCGAGTGAAGTAATTACGTAAAGTGCCTCGTTGGAGCGTTTTGCGGGGACGGTATGTCGCGCGACTCATTTCGTAACGATATGCGGAGCTCTTCCTCTTTTCCGACTCGTCTCCAGCGTCTCTCTTGTATTTACGTTTCCGATAAAATGGGTCATCCTGTCCCACGACGGCTGTATCT